AGTACAGATACAAAGGTAAAAAGTTACTCAAATAACACATGAAAAAAATCTACTTAAGTAAAAGTATTAAAGTACCTGTTTAAAATGTACTAAGTAAAACCTTTTTTTTTTTTTAGAACAATTAAAGGATGAGATGTAGTGATTTTGAAAAATTATTTAGCTTATTGATTGATGTTAACTCAAATTAAACATGTTATAAAATAAAGTCTCCACTATTTCAGCAGCTCTCAAACCATAAAGAAAAGTACTTTTTACTTTTCAGTCTAGATCTAAAATGTAGTGGAGTAGAAAGAATAGAAATACGTTCTCAAATGTAGTGAAGTAAAAGTAAAAAGTATGGAATGTAAAATTTACTTAAGTAATGTACAGATACATAATATTTGTACTTAAGTATTGTACTTTGTTACCTTCCACCACTGGTTTGAGCATAGAGCTACTTCAGATAGAAATATATACCGTATTTTCCTCACTATAGGGTGCTCTGGATTATAAGGTGCACTGTCATTAAATGGTCTATTTTCAAACTTTTTTTTCACAAATAAACCGCACCGGACTTTAAACAAAACACAACAGTTGGATGGGTCAGTTGGACTGTGTTTGGCGCGTTCACGGTGACTCTGGGCTTTGTTCAGTTGTGGCGTGTAGGGAGGGTGCTGTCTGGGACCGCTGGATTGTCGGCGTGTTCGCAGTGACTCAGTTGTTCAGTCGTGTCTAGAAGTGGCACATTGCACTCGCTTTTTCAGTTCGTTCCTCCGTTCCGTTCCTCGTCCGCGTGGAGTGATGAGTGTGGCTGCGGGTGTTTTTCACCGCGCTGTCTGCTCTGTGTGTGTTTGCGTGCACTGCAGGTGGTGTGGCTTTGTAGTTTACTGAAGTCGTGCTGGGACACCCGAGTGGATTTGTCTATAGGGCGCTCTGGATTGTCGTTTTTTGTTGGGGTTAGAGGCTTAAGAGTGCGCCCTATTGCCCGGAAAATACTGTACCAAACTCCAAGTTGGGAAATTCCAGTTAGATCTTATATTAGTCCAATGAGGTTCATTTGGTCTTCCAATAATTTATGTTATTAGGTTCTTTTTTCAGACCAAGAGTTTGTTTTCATACCTGACAGTTTCGACTGCTCCCTGTGGTCTTCCTCAGAGTGGTCACGTGATGTTGCTGCGACGTGTCCGGTCAGCTCATTTATACAGGTTTTGGGGATGAAGCAAACATCACTGAGACAGATAACAAACCCTGTTGCTGGATTAAAGAGGCAATCGAAATACGTAAACGTGCCGACGGGACTATAAACCTGGACGAGGGGGCTTTTTTACTCTCACACACCTGGGATACTGTCCTGAGGAAGTCGGACTGCAGATGGCGCTGTAATCCTGCCTCCACCGGTAGGAAGACAGTGCCAAAACCTGTTTAAATCTGAGGAAGACCACTCGTGAGAAGTCGAAACTGTCAGGTATATAAACAAACTCTTGGTCTGACAAAAGAACCTAATAACATAGATCTTATATTGTCATATCACCTCTGTAAGTACATGCCATAAACACTAATTAGCCAGATCCATCACTCCCCGTTGTAAATACGCACAGATTGATCTCACACATAGGTAAATACAGCGATGCATTACACAAAAGCAGAAAAATTGTTCACAAAAAAGCTCTTGTTTACCATTCATTTTTCCATGATCTCATCCCAAAGCATACTCTAGACACAACACATTTTGTAAGGCTTTCTCGTAGAATACTTTATTGGCCTCCCCTGTGCAGCAGAGGAGCACATATCATGATTAGGATATTACAACCTGCAGAAAAGCCTGTTATCTGTCCCCATTCTCCCAAGATGCACTGGGGCCTTTTCACATTTCTTACAATAATATGGTGCGTGCCTTGTCCACGTTCCCCTGACAGTCTCTTAGCGATGATGTATTGTGGATGGCAGGCTCACATGCGGCATTCATATTTAATAAACAAAGGGGACGACGTGTGCGTGTGTGTGGAATCAAAATATGTGGTAGGTGTTGTTTTAAGGGCCTTTTGTTTTCATTTTGTACGGTGTGATAGCGCTGTCAGTTTTCGTTATTGTCTTATTACAAGTGCGGGGACTGGTGAAGTAATCCTTTTATAGTTAATAAGGGCGCAATGAAAATAATACACAACCAAAGTAAGTACGTGCAGGTGATGTGCTGCATTGTTCCAAGAAATCAAAGTGGAAAAGTAGTTCTGGGAATCAAGTTTGTACAGAAATTACCAAGCTGCACAATGTAACTTTTCTGGTGAAGGTTTTTCTCCCCTGTCTGGAGAAAAACATTGCTTTACCTGGAATGTTTCACAGTATAGCCTGTAACTATCTCCATGGAGACAATGAAAAGCAATGCCACCAGGCCAAGTTACAGGTTAGATCTGTGGAGAGGTAAACCCACTCTCTGTTTATGGTATGTTTGAGCCGTAAAAACAACTGTATTTTAATGTATTTTGGACAAAAAAAAACATCTCCATGGACACAAGCAGGTGGTAGACTCTCCACTAGACCTGCTTGATTATGGAAAAAAAATCATTATCACGATTATTTTGGTCAATGTTGAAATCATGATTATTTTTTAGTTACACAATGCATTTATTCAGCATTTCTCTCTCTAAAAAACACTTTGTTACTGATATTTTACACAAAACTTTCAAATTGAAAATAAATATAGGCTACAAATCTGTACCTTAGAGCAGTTTTGTGATGAATAAATAATAAAATGAATCAAATACATTTTGAACATGAAATAAAGCATAGAAAAACATCATGTATCCAAAATAAACTATATATCCAGCTGTTGTACAATCCCTATATTCAAAAAATAAAATAAATATACTCATTTATATAAAAAATATTCCAAAATAAATAGGAATATAACGATATCCAAATGTCTTGGTATGATATTATCACGATATGCATCTCATGGTTTGATATTTATTGTGATATTTTGGAGTAACAAATATAAATCTAGACAGGACACATTTTTGCTTTTAAAATACCTTGACAAGATTTTGGTGTGAATTATTACTGTCATAATCTCAAGAATCCAAGTAAAAAACATATTTTTTTCATGTTGTTTGCACTGAAATGAATCATGGGAAATGTAGTTCCCTATGTTTATTTGCTGTTCATACTAAAAACAATGCATTTAAGCAAAGGATTTTGTATTTCAATATATTGTGACGGCTCTTGATATTATTGTGAGACTCCTGACAACATGATATCACAGTATTTCGGTTATTGTTACATCCCTAAAAATAAACTTTGTTAAGCTCATTTCAACTCGATTATGAGTTTGAAGATTGTTTGACACACAAATCGAAATCGCAATCAAAATTCAATTAATTGCACAGCCTTTCTCTACACCAGAAAAGTTACATAATGCACTTTTAATAAATATAAACACCCATTTCAATCACTGAAATGTTAAAGGTGCACTGTGTAACTTTTCTCGGGGAGGGTCTGTTAAATTCTTGTCTCCATGAAGATGTTCTTGTTTTGTCTAGAATGTTTCACAGTATGGCATTAAACCTTTCTATCTTCATGGAGGCCAAACTAGACCAAGTTACGGGTCAGATCTGTGGCGAGGCGACCCCGCTCATAGTCAGAACGCCTGTTTTTCTAGGGATTTTTGAGCTATAAAATCACCTGTAATTGATTAAACATAAGGTAGAGCTGTTTAAAGTCACACTGTGGAACATTCCAGGAATAGCAATGACATCACCATAGAAACAAGCAGCTGACAAACCCCCAGCCAAAAAGTTACACAACAAATATATGGAATTAGTTTGACAGCGCATCACACAGAATCATCTTGGGGACATGTTTTGTGAATTATAAAGGCCATAAACACCGTATATTTACTTCAGCATTTCTACCAGATGAAAGGAAGAAATGTATGTTTTGATTATTGCGCAGACTAGCTGATATAATCCAGAAACATCAAAACAAATTATTTACTCAAGATTGGAAAATTACATCTATCCGACAAACATAATTATAGTCTCAGCGTGAAAAAAAAACCAGTATACGAAATAGTGTCTGGTCTCCAGTGGTGGATGAAGTACTCAATTTTGTTACTTAAGTAAAAGTACAGACACAATGGTAAAAAGTTACTCAAGTAAAAGTAAACGTATCACATGAAAAAATCTACTTAAGTAACAGTATTAAAGTACCTGTTTGAAAATGTGCTTAAAGAGTAAAAAGTAAAAGTATTTTGCAGAGATTTTTAGAACAATTATAAGATGAAATTTAGTGATTTTGAAATACATTTTTCTAGCTGCTTTTGTGCATTTGGTTTGCTGAAACCTGGGATATTAACTCAAATGAAATGTGCTAAAAGAAAACAACAACTTTGTAGTACTTTTTACTTTTCAGTCTAGATCTAAAATGTAGTGGTGTAGAAAGGAGAGATACACATTCTCAAATCTAGTGAAGTAAAAGTAAAAAGTAACCACTGTAAAATGTATTTAAGTAAAATACAGATTAAGACTGTACAATTAATTGAATTTTGATTGCGATTTCGATTTGTGTGTCAAATGATCTCCAAACTCATTTAATCAAGTTGAAACGATAAAGCTTAACAAATTTTATTTTGGGATTTTTAAAAATATAAATAAGTATATTTATTTTATTTTGGATACATTTATGTGTTTCTATGCCTTACTTCAAAGTATATTTTATTCATTTTATGTTTTTACATCACAAAACTGCTCTAAGGTATATATTTGTAGTCTATATTTATTTTCAATTTGAAAGTTTCGCGTAAACTATCAATAACAAAGTGTTTTTTGGGTTTTTTTGAGAGAGAGAGACATGTAGAAAAAATGCATCATGTAACAAAAAATAATCGTTTGAATACTCGTGATAATGATTTTTTCCAAAATCGAACAGCTCGAGTACAGATACCTAAAATATGTACTTTCACTTTTGTACTTTGTTACCCTCCACCACTGCTGCTGATTATGTAAAAAGTGTGTGTTTGAACTCACCTGATGTACTGCGGTACAGGGCCCCTGGCTGTGTGGTGCTCCGGTACAGTGGCCCCTGGTACGTGCGGTCCTCGTATATGGGAGCGATGTGACGGTCAGGGGACATGGCCGAGCGCATGTCCTGTCCCGGTGGGCTGTGCTGACTGGCGTACGAGTTCCGCATACCTAGAGATAATGAGAAACTTGATTAGCATACAATATCTTATACACTTTTATATTTTTGGGTAATTTTATTCAGTAACAAAAAGTCATGCTTGATGTGATGTTTGCAGGAATATTTTATTGGTGGCAATGGTTCTGAGAAAAACAAAAAACAAACAAACCAAAAATGTTACAGCACAATAATATGGCAATATGGATGGAGTGTTTTGCCAAAAGATGGAACACAATAGTAGTAGTAGTTTGTTCAGTTATTTTGCAGCACTACAAAACAAAACAAAATAAAACAGACTACAACCCCATGGATCATGACCGAAAGGGTTTAGGCTGAAGCAAAAAAAATACTTATAATGCCAAACCCTTTTCAACAATGACAGAATTCTAAGAAAGAAACAATGTATGAACAGCAAGGTTTCATTTCCAATTTCACTTATGACTTACTGTATATATAAGAGACAAAATATAAATTAAAACAAACTAAATTTAATGTGTAATCCATTCATTCCAGAGCTCTGTATCTTTCAAAACATAATGGCTTATACTAGGAATGTAACAATATCAAAATCTCACAGTACAATATTATCACGATACTCATTTCAAAGTGCGATATTTTGGATGGCTGATATAATTGTAAACTGGATACTTTTTGCACTTAAAATACATTGACTAGTCTTAGATGTGAATCATTACTGTCATAATCCCAAGAATGAAAGGAAAAAACATTTCTTCTGCGCTGAAATGAGTCATCAGATATGTAGTTCAATGTTTTTTTTAGCTGTTGCTACTGTAAAACCATGCATTTAACCAAAGGATCTTGTAATTCGATATATTGTAACAGCCCACGATATTATTTTGAGACTTTTGACGATACGATATCACGATATTTCGGTTATTTATTTATATTATTTATATATGACAGTAGATGTTCAAGAAAGGTTTGAACTGGCTACTCTCCGGTTAGTGAGTGAACAATTAACCCACTACACTTAACTTTTCTAACGGAGGGTCCGGCATCTGCTCGTCTCGCCTAAAATGTTCCTCAGTATGGCATTAAACATGTCTAACTAGCATCTCTTATCATACAGGTGTTTTACAGGTAACAATGTGCTCAACAATACCTGATTTTGTACATCCTGCCTGAAGATTAATGCTATTCTGTGGAACATTCAAGCCAAAGCTGTAACATCCCCATGGTAACAAGCAAGTGGCGGACTTTCCATAAGAAAAGTTACATAGCACATTGGCACATTTACTGCAATATTTTGGAGATAGGACACGTTTCTGCTTTTAAAATACCTTGACAAGATTTTGGTGTGAATTATTTCTGTCATAATCCAAAGAATTCAAGTAAAAAAATGATTTCTTCATGTTGTTCATCAGGGTCGCCGCGGGGTCTTAAAAGTCTTAAAAAGGTCTTAAATTTCATGCTCCTAAATTAAGGTCTGAAAAAGTCTTAAATTACGTCGTCCAAGTCATATTTTTTTCACAAAGGCCTTAAATTTGTGTTTGTAGACTCAACCGGGCTGCAGGGCAATTTTAAAATGGAGAAAGAAAAAAAAAACAACGTGAAAACACATAACCGGAATGAACGTCTAATTTGGAGTATTCGCAAACAATACTTAGTTTGTATTTAGTTTAGAATGTTTTAAATTAATTTTTGGCCATTTTATAAGCAACGCATACAACTATAAATGAGTTCTGAATGAGATTTTATAATGAAAGTATTTTTACCTCCGCCAAGGAGGTTATGTTTTTGCCGGCGTTTGTCTGTTTGTTTGTTTGTTTGTCTGTTAGCAACATAACTCAAAAAGTTATGGACCGATTTTGATGAAATTTTCAGGATTTGTTGGAAATGTGAAAAGGAAGAACTGTTTTCATTTTGGGGGTGATCCGGAACAAATCCTGGATTCTGGATCACTTTGAAATTTTAGTTAACATTGTGGTAAATGGGGCCAAAAATTTTGTTTCTCAATATCTCGGTTAATTATTGACCAAACCCCATGAAATTTGACTCAGGGATGGACAATGGGATCCTCTTTCATATTCCAAAGGCTGATCCGGATCTGATCCACAAGACTGATTTTATCGCAATTTATATAAAAAATGGGGGTAGTCCTGGGCGGAGGTCTGCGCTCTCTGAGTGCTTTTCTATTTTATTATTTAAATCAGTGGGTAATGGCCATTATTAGAATTGGATCTGGTGTTTTTTCGCCCGTATAATGGGTGCCTTCCCTTGTTGGACTTAATTTTCATTTCAGTGGTCTTAAAAACGTCTTTAAAAAGTCTTAAATTTGGGCTAGTCAAACCTGGGGATACCCTGTTCATGTTCTGAAATGAATCATGGGATATGTAGTTCCCAGTGTTTACAAGCTTTTGCTATTGTAAAACCATGAACTTGTAATTTGATATATTGTGACAGCTCACGATATTACTGTGAGACTTCTGACGATACGATATCATGATATTTCGGTTTTTGTTACATCCCTCATAGCGCACCTTTTAGTTCCATAATGGTAAAAATAAAACATGGTACAAATGGTCACAAAATACAGAGCAAAGGCTGTAGAGCGCAAACAAATAAATGAGGGGTAAAAGCAATACTGAATGTGAATACTGATCAGTGGTCGCCATAACAACAGGATGCGTAGGTAGCATTAGCCCCATGTGTGATTACAGAAGCCATAAAAGCCAACCTCACAGAGACGTCAAACCAAAACGAGAAACGCCAACACTTAAACTATAAAAACAGTCCAAAAATAAAACTTTTCCGCCAACTATTGTATGTAACCCTTATTTGTTCTGTATCAGCATTCTCTGCAGTTTTTAACAATTCTGTTTTTGAAATATAAATATTAGATAATGGTCAGGGATGCTTTGAGAAACAGGACGTAAGCCAGACAGCCAGGCCAGCAACCCCAATTATTTTCAGATTCTGCAAAGCATTAGGCAGCACCCTATAGGTTTGAGAAGATGTCCAGTGGTGAAATCATTACAGTTTCAACGGAAATCTCAATATCTGTGAAAATTTCAATACAGTCAAAGGTAGTCCAAAATCAATCCTGGAGATATACTACCGGTCAAAAGTTTTAGAACGCCCAAATTTCTCCAGTTATTTATTGAAATTCAAGTCGTGAAAGTCCAATGAAGAGTTTGAAATGATACAAAGGTAAATACTGAACAGACAAAGGTTAAAAAAAAAGATAAGATACAAAACACAAGTCCAAGCTCTGCCAAAACTACCTCAGGAAAAAAGAACAAGATGGTAAACTTGAAAACATGGAGTGTCCAGCACAGTCTCCAGACTTAAACCCCATCGAGCTGTTTTTGGGATCAACTGGACAGAAGAGTGAAAGTCAAGCAACCTACAAGTGCCACACATTTATGGAAACTTCTGAACTTTTTCTTGGGAAGAACTTTCTGAAGAATATTTGATTTCTATTGTAAAAAGAATGAGTGTGTTCAGCTGTTATATCTGCCAAAGGTGGACACTGTCATGAATCAAAAGTTTAGAATATGTTTTGGTCAAGAGTAAACAGTAAAAAAACTGGAAAAAGTGTGATGTTCTAAAACTTTTGACCGGTAGTGTACAACCATGCTATGTTCAAATAGGGCTTAGGGAATTTCTCCTGTGGTGTGGTATATACACATGTACCTTAGTTTTCGTGTGGATATAGCGTGTGTAATATGGGAGAAGTAAAATTTGGCTTTGGAACAAGTGCCGCTGCGTCTCTCCAGCTCTCACTGTGGCAGCTCGGGTCAAAGTCCTGCACCAGGTCGGGTACCCGCGGACTTAAGGGAGCACGCGGAGCAGGTGTCCGCAAAGCGTGATCGGGTGACAGCTGTGTTTACCTCTGTGCGGCGCAGAGCTGCTGCGGTCCTTTCGCCTGCGGTCCCCCGACAGTCTTTGCGGGCGCACCTTAGTCCTGGGTTAGTTCTGGGTTAGTTAGTCCTGGGTTAGTCCTGGGTTATCACGGGCATGGGTGCTAGCGGGTGGAATGTTAACGGGTCCGGGTGGGTGCGGGTCTCTAAAAATGGACCCGTGCAGGACTCTGGGTCAGGTCACGTGTGGAGATCGCTGAGGCCCAACATTCACTGCAGTGGACCTCTTAGTACCGTAGTGATTCATTTTTGCGGTTATTGCAACAGCCCTATGTTCAAATTCAATTTCAATACTGATGTTTAAGGTGCATTGTGTAACTTTTCTGGTGGAAGGTCTATCAAATGCTTTTCTCCATGTAGATACTATTGCGTTGTCTGGAATGTTTCACAGTATGGCATTAAACCTTTGTATGATCATGAAGACCAAACCAGGTCAAGTTACAGGTCAGATCTGTGAAGAGTAGGGCTGTAACAATAACTGAAATATCGTGATATCGTATCGTCAGAAGGTCTCACAATAATATCGCGGACTGTCACAATATATCAAATTACAAGTTCCTTTGCTTAAATGCATTTTTTATAGTAGCAACAGCTTCTAAACATCGGGAACTACATATCCCATGATTCATTTCAGTGCAAACAACATGAAGAAATACGTTTTTTACTTGAAATCTTGGGATTATGAGGGAAATAATTCTTGTCAAGGTATTTTAAAAGCAAAAATATCCAATAATATCCAAAATATTGCAATAAATATCGTACCATGAGATGCATATCGTGATAATATTGTATCGAGAGATTCGAATATTGTTACATCCCTAGTGAAGAGCTATTTTTGAGCTATAAAACACCTGTAATTGACTAAATGTAAGGTAGAACATTCGAGAAAGCGCAATGATATCTCCATAGCAACAAGCAGGTGACTCACACCCAACCAAAAAGTTACACTGTGCACCTTTAATATGGTAAAGTTCGTAAAGTTTTAAAGCATAACTTGACCAAATAACCAAAAAGGTATATTGCAAAAGTTATTACAATGGCCAAATCCTGTCTAGAAATAAAGATGGTTATTAAAAAGGTTGACCAGAACTTTTTTGACCCAGCGAAATATTTCAACCATTTTCTCA